TTAATTTTATGAGCTTTGTTCCTTGGATCAAGAGCTCGTCAACATTGAGATGCGCTACTTGGTGTAGGTCCGTCACGCCCCTCCTTTCCTTTCCCCTAAAATGCCACCCAGTAGTAGTGTGAGTGTGTGTGTGTGTGAGTGTGTGTGTGAGTGTGTGTGTGAGTTGTGTGTGAGTGTGTGTGTGAGTGGTGTGTGATGGTGTGAGTGTGTGTGAGTGTGTGTGTGAGTGTGTGTGTGAGTGTGTGTAGTGAGTGTGGTGTGTGAGTGTGTGTGTGAGTGTGTGGTGAGTGTGTGTGTGAGTGTGTGTGTGAGTGTGTGTGTGAGTGTGTGTGTGAGTGTGTGTGTGAGTGTGTGTGTGAGTGTGTGTGTGAGTGTGTGTGTGAGTGGTGTGTGTGAGTGTGTGTGTGAGTGTGTGTGTGAGTGTTGTGTGTGAGTGTGTGTGTGAGTGTGTGTGTGAGTGTGGTGTGGTGTGGAGTGTGGTGTGTGAGTGTGTGTGTGAGGTTGTGTGTGTGAGTGTGTGTGTGAGTGTGTGTGTGAGTGTGTGTGTGAGTGTGTGTGTGAGTGTGTGTGTGAGTGTGTGTGTGAGTGTGTGTGTGAGTGTGTGTGTGAGTGTGTGTGTGAGTGTGTGTGTGAGTGTGTGTGTGAGTGTGTGTGTGTGAGAGTGAGTGTGTGTGTAGAGTGAGTGTGTGTGTGAGTGTGAGTGAGTGTGAGTGAGTGAGTGAGTGTGTGTGTGAGAGTGAGTGTGTGTGTGTGTGAGAGTGAGTGTGTGTGTGAGTGTGTGGTGTGTGTGTGTGTGTGTGTGTGAGTGTGTGTGTGTGTGTGTGTGTGTGTGTGTGTGTGTGTGTGTGTGTGTGTGTGTGTGTGTGACTAAGAACAGCAGGTGTTAAGACTTGCCAACACATCTGACATTGCTTGGGATTACTTTGGTGCTCTTGGCTACTTGGCCAATGTCTTACCACTGACCTATGAGGTATTTGTAGTACAACATTAACATTAAAATATTTTAGTAATTGCAGATATAAGCTGGGTGAACTTATGAAATCGCCTTGTGTAACAATTGTGCAGTTCTTTTTCTTTCTCTTTTTTTTTTTTTCTCTCCAGGGTTTGACAAGGTTAGGTTAAGGATCCCTACCTTTATTGACAAGCTATTTACAGGTTAAGGATTCCTAACTTTGACAAGCTAAGAGCTGTTACCTTCATCAGCTCACTTGAAAACATTTTTATGAAACATACAGGTAGGGACTGGGATGAAGTTGGAGCCATCTATGGGCCAGCATTTTCATTTAATCAGCTGACTTTATGTTGACATCATAATGCTGTACGAATATGTTCCAGAGTAGTCATCCTGGGATAAATGATCTCTGATGAAGTGATGTTCTGGAGAAGGGTACAGCCAGAGTGAAGTTGCTGCTTTCTGCTCGTCTTGTGGTATAGAAGCTTGCTTCTCGCTGGCCTCGAAGTGGTTCCAAGTGTGGTACTTGGACAATATTGGCTTTGTACATAATGGTAAGGCCACCCACATCCCTCCTGTGTTGAAGGGTCTGCTGAACTGACAGATCTATCCAAAAAAATCAAAATCGAGAACAACGTCCAGTATTGGGCCCCTACTTAAACAAGATGGGTCCTACACAGATGACAGCAAGGAAATGAGTGAGCTACTCAAGTCCCAATATGACTCAGTTTTTAGCAAGCCGCTAACCAGACTGAGAGTCGAAGATCAAAATGAATTTTTTATGAGAGAGCCACAAAATTTGATTAACACAAGCCTATCCGATGTTATCCTGACGCCAAATGACTTCGAACAGGCGATAAATGACATGCCCATGCACTCTGCCCCAGGGCCAGACTCGTGGAACTGTGTTCATCAAGAACTGCAAGAAGCCCCTATCACGAGCCTTTTCCATCCTATGGAGAGGGAGCATGGACACGGGGGTCGTCCCTCAGTTACTAAAAACAACAGACATAGCCCCACTCCACAAAGGGGGCAGTAAAGCAACAGCAAAGAACTACAGACCAATAGCACTAACATCCCATATCATAAAAATCTTTGAAAGGGTCCTAAGAAGCAAGATCACCACCCATCTAGAAACCCATCAGTTACACAACCCAGGGCAACATGGGTTTAGAACAGGTCGCTCCTGTCTGTCTCAACTACTGGATCACTACGACAAGGTCCTAAATGCACTAGAAGACAAAAAGAATGCAGATGTAATATATACAGACTTTGCAAAAGCCTTCGACAAGTGTGACCATGGCGTAATAGCGCACAAAATGCGCGCTAAAGGAATAACAGGAGAAGTCGGTCGATGGATCTATAATTTCCTCACTAACAGAACACAGAGAGTAGTCGTCAACAGAGTAAAGTCCGAGGCAGCTACGGTGAAAAGCTCTGTTCCACAAGGCACAGTACTAGCTCCCATCTTGTTCCTCATCCTCATATCCGACATAGACAAGGATGTCAGCCACAGCACCGTGTCTTCCTTTGCGGATGACACCCGAATCTGCATGACAGTGTCTTCCATTGCAGACACTGCAAGGCTCCAGGCGGACATCAACCAAATCTTTCAGTGGGCTGCAGAAAACGATATGAAGTTCAACGATGAGAAATTTCAATTACTCAGATATGGTAAACATGAGGAAATTAAATCTTCATCAGAGTACAAAACAAATTCTGGCCACAAAATAGAGCGAAACACCAACGTCAAAGACCTGGGAGTGATTATGTCGGAGGATCTCACCTTCAAGGACCATAACATTGTATCAATCGCATCTGCTAGAAAAATGACAGGATGGATAATGAGAACCTTCAAAACTAGGGAGGCCAAGCCCATGATGACACTCTTCAGGTCACTTGTTCTATCTAGGCTGGAATATTGCTGCACTCTAACAGCACCTTTCAAGGCAGGTGAAATTGCCGACCTAGAAAATGTAGAGAGAACTTTCACGGCGCGCATAACGGAGATAAAACACCTCAATTACTGGGAGCGCTTGAGGTTTCTAAACCTGTATTCCCTGGAACGCAGGAGGGAGAGATACATGATTATATACACCTGGAAAATCCTAGAGGGACTAGTACCAAACTTGCACACGAAAATCACTCACTATGAAAGCAAAAGACTTGGCAGACGATGCACCATCCCCCAATGAAAAGCAGGGGTGTCACTAGCACGTTAAGAGACCATACAATAAGTGTCAGGGGCCCGAGACTGTTCAACTGCCTCCCAGCACACATAAGGGGGATTACCAACAGACCCCTGGCAGTCTTCAAGCTGGCACTGGACAAGCACCTAAAGTCAGTTCCTGATCAGCCGGGCTGTGGCTCGTACGTTGGTTTGCGTGCAGCCAGCAGCAACAGCCTGGTTGATCAGGCGCTGATCCACCAGGAGGCCTGGTCACAGACCGGGCCGCGGGGGCGTTGACCCCCGAAACTCTCTCCAGATAAACTCCAGATGGGTCTATGCAAGAGATGGGATGTCTTGCTCTGTCCTCTGTCAAGCAGTTGCAGATGAGAGGGTGGGGGGGAGGCAAACCAAGAAAGTGGAGCATACTCAAGGTGTGAGCGTACTTGTGCCTCATACAGAATCTTGCAACCCCCTACTGTCAAACAGATGTGAGATACAATGAAGTGCTGTAAGCTTCCTGGCCCCCTTGGTTGCAAGATTTACAACATGGTACTTCATGGTCAGTTTGGAATCAGATTTCACCCCAAGGATATAAACTTCCCCAGGTACCAGCACCTTCCCATTCATGCTTTGTACTGCACCAGCATTACCATCGTGGTGCGTAGAGACCATCATTTGCGTTTTCTCAGGTGCAAATGTTACTTGTCATCTGTTTCCCCATTCATTACTTGCAAAATCATGATGACACAATTGTAAATTCTTCAAATGGCGGTTTTAGGACTGGCCTGCTATGGGTTTGACCCCCCCTCTCCCCTCAAGGAAGGTTCCTTAATATTGGTGAGGGGCTCTTTATCTAGGGAATTGGATCTGTGCTCTTTCCCTGAATTGAGCCTGAATACCTTCAGTCCCCCCCCCCCCTTCTACATGCACTGTATAATCCTATGGGTTTAGCTCTCCCCCACGATTATAATATGGGTTCGACCCTTCCATTTAGTCATTTGTGTGTTCATGTTGTATACTGTTCTCTTTTGTGTAGGGGTAGGGGTTGCCCTAGGAAAGGTTGGAGGGAGGGGGTAAAGGTTTTGTGTAAGGGGGGGGGGGTTGGCTTGGACTTCTAGCAAGCATACATGAGCATGTTAGATAGGAGCAAATGGAGGCAAATGGTTTTTAGGACTTGCTGTGCTGTTGGAGTGTGAGCAAGGTAACATTTATGAAGGGATTCAGGGAAACCGGCAGGCTGGATTTGAGTTCTGGAGATAGGAGGTACAGTGCCTGTTCTCTGAAGGAATGGTGTTAATGTTGCAGTTTTATAACTGTAGTGTAGACGAGCCTCTGGCAAGACGATGGAGTGAATAATGGTGAATTTTTTTTTTTCCCTCCCTGCCATGGTAGGAGGCAGCCAGTGTTAATAAAAAAAATTGCATCAAACCAGATTTATTTTATTTCTGGAGTGTATTTTATGACTTGACTGGTATATCAATTGTGAATTGCTATGTAAGTTAAGTTTATATTGGTATGTATAATCACAGAAACCAGGATAAGATTAGAGTTCGTAAATATAGAATTTTTTTAGATAAGGATAAATTAACACAACAGCAAACTAATAGCAGTAACATTTGTGCTCTGAAGCCTAATTTCCTAATGGGTTTAATTATATTCATAGGGAAGCTCTAAACTCATAAGGGTCACAATGACTGGGAAACCGGAGGGTTGAGGCAATGTTTGTTCTAAGGAAATATATATGGCTATAGTCTTTGTTAGAGCCCTTCCTAGGATCAAGGCATCCCCTATCAATCCTTTTACTGTCTTGACCTCCAAAAAAAACAGTATTGTAGGATATTGCATAGATAGCAAATCAATCTTGTTTTCACTTTTCAGGGAAGCTCCTGTGAGAAAGCACCTCAAGAATGTGTATGCTACCTTCACACTAGCCACCATTGCAGCCTCAGCAGGTGGCTATGCTCACATGTTCAGTACCCTCATTGGAGCTGGTCTGCTTACTGGCTTGGGAGCCATTGGAGCTCTGATCTGGCTCACATTGACACCCTATGATGGCAAGAACCAACTCCAGCGTCTCTCTCTCCTTGGCACCTTTGCATTCCTTTCTGGCTGCAACCTTGGACCCCTGCTTGACCTGGCTGTTGCAGTGAACCCTACATTGGTAAGCCTTGATGATTTTTTTTTGTGTGTGTGCATTTGTTCAGTTTGTTAGAAGTTGAGAAAGTACATGTTTATGGTCAGTATCTAAAATAATGGCCTTAATTTTAATTACCGACTACAGCAATTTTATCATTATTGCAAATTGGTAGTGAAATTTGAATGAATCTATTGAAGTATGTGCTTGCCAAGTACATGGCCATTAACAAAAGATGTTATAGTAAAAATTTTGCAAATTAGTTTTCTGTAATGTTTAAAATGCAGGAAAAAGGAAGGTCTAGTATACCTTTTTGTTCTATTGAGCCTGAGAAACTGCCCATTTGAAGTCAAAGATAAATAATTGTAGTCATTCCACCCACTAAAGCAACCATTACTCTGTTCATTAATTACATTCCCAGACCTCACCTTTATAATCCTTGCCCTCCATTTTGAATCCATCACACACACATTGGGAGGAGGAAGTTTTACCCTGTTTCTCAAATGAGAAAGTAGAGGAAATTTTTGGTAATGCTCTAGACCATTTCCTTCCTTAGAAGTCACCAAAAATTAAATACAGCCTCTCCTTGCTTAACGACAGAGTTCCATTCCTAAGACCATGTCGGTAAACGAATACGTCGCTGAGGAGCATACTATAGTGGTATTGGGTTTGTCGACCATCTCCGATTGCTTTAATGTCGGCTTTGCCCCATTTATATCATTTCTGGTATATTTTTCAATGCTTATACACTAATGTACTGTATTGTAATAAAATAGAGGAAATCAGCTCTAATATGCATTACAGTGGACCCTCCCTTTTCCTTGGGCTCTGTTTTTCACTTTTCCATTATCACCTATTTTTTCCATAAAATTATTAGCTCAGTTTTCATTGCTTACCTCCGTTCTCGTGGGTGGTATGGTACGGTACATGTCGCTGTGTGCCACTCGCACAACCTCCCCCACACTGCATTCTGAGAAGGCAGTGTCACTTTGTTTATGGGCAAGTACATTATCCTGCGAGACCATAGGCAACATTTCGTAATACAGTGGTACCTCGAGTTGTGAACTTAATTCGTTCCAGAGAGCTGTTAGTGCTGATACCGAACGAATTTCTTCCCATAAGGAATCTAAATTAGATAAGTCCGTTTCAGACCCCCAAAAATACACTTACAAAAGCACTTGCAAAAATACACTTAAATAATTGTTCAAGTTGGGAGCTGTTCGAAACTCAAGGTACCACTGTAATCATTTTTTCTTGCACTTGTTTATTGTGTGCGACTGATAAATAAGCCACAATAGGCCCAAAGAAAGCTGCTAGTACCAGCCCGTTGATAAAGGTGAGAAACACGATAGAATTAAAGACATAACTCGTAGCAAAGTTCCAAAGTAGAGAAGGAAGAGAGGGGAGACTGTGCCTGATTCAGCGATTCTATAATATGTACGATACTAAAGCAGCAGGAGGCTATAGCACCAGCCAGCGATAAGTGTAGCATTAACAGTGTGGCAAGCAAGTTAAGCAATTAAGCAATAGAAAAACGACACAAAACTGACTCCTCCAGTGTTGAAGGTATATAGGGCCACTACTAACATGTGCTGTCCTGCCTATCTTCCACCACCCTAAACCAATGCCAGCATCTCCAAGGGGCAGTAAGTGTAAATTTTTTTTTTTTTCAACAAGTCGGCCGTCTCCCACCGAGGCAGGGTGACCCAAAAAAGAAAAAATCCCCAAAAAGAAAATACTTTCATCATTCAACACTTTCACCACACTCACACATTATCACTGCTTTTGCAGAGGTGCTCAGAATACAAGTTTAGAAGCATATACGTATAAAGATACACAACATATAACTCCAAACTGCCAATATCCCAAACCCCTCCTTTAAAGTGCAGGCATTGTACTTCCCATTTCCAGGACTCGAGTCAGACTATATGAAAATAACCGGTTTCCCTGAATCCCTTCACTAAATATTACCCTGCTCACACTCCAACAGATCGTCAGGTCCCAAGTATCATTCGTCTCCATTCACTCCTATCTAACATGCTCATGCACGCTTGCTGGAAGTCCAAGCCCCTTGCCCACAAAACCTTTACCCCCTCTTTCCAACCCTTTCGAGGACGACCCCTACCCCTCCTTCCTTCCCCTATAGATTTATATGCTTTCCATGTCATTCTACTTTGATCCATTCTCTCTAAATGACCAAACCACCTCAACAACCCCTCTTCTGCCCTCTGACTAATGCTTTTATTAACTCCACACCTTCTCCTAATTTCCACACTCCGAATTTTCTGCATAATATTTACACCACACATTGCCCTTAGACATTACATCTCCACTGCCTCCATCTCCTCGCTACTGCATTTACCACCCAAGCTTCACATCCATATAAGAGTGTTGGTACTACTATACTTTCATACATTCCCTTCTTTGCCTCCATAGATAACGTTTTTTGACTCCACATATACCTCAACGCACCACTCTCCTTTTTTTCCCTCATCAATTCTGTGATTCTCATCCTTCATAAATCCATCCGCCGACACGTCAACTCCCAAGTATCTGAAAACGTTCACTTCTTCCATACTCCTCCTCCCCAATTTGATATCCAATTTTTATTTATCTAAATCATTTGATACCCTCATCACCTTACTCTTTTCTATGTTCACTTTCAACTTTCTACCTTTGCACACATTCTCAAACTCCTCCACTAACCGTTGAAATTTTTCTTTAGAATCTCCCATAAGCACAGTATCATCAGCAAAAAGTAACTGTGTCAATTCCCATTTTGAATTTGATTCCCCATAATTTAATCCCACCCCTCTCCCGAACACCCTAGCATTTACTTCTTTTACAACCCCATCTATAAATATATTAAACAACCATGGTGACATTACACATCCCTGTCTAAGACCTACTTTTACTGGGAAGTATTCTCCCTCTCTTCTACACACCCTAACCTGAGCCTCACTATCCTCATAAAAGCTCTTTACAGCATTTAGTAACTTACCACCTATTCCATATACTTGCAACATCTGCCACATTGCTCCTCTATCCACTCTATCATATGCCTTTTCTAAATCCATAAATGCAATAAAAACTTCCCTACCTTTATCTAAATACTGTTCACATACATGCTTCAATGTAAACACTTGATCTACACATCCCCTACCCACTCTGAAGCCTCCCTGCTCATCCGCAATCCTACATTCTGTCTTGCCTCTAATTCTTTCGATTATAACCCTACCATATACTTTTCCTGGTATACTCAGTAAACTTATTCCTCTATAATTTTTACAATCTCTTTTGTCCCCTTTCCCTTTATATAAAGGGACTATACATGCTCTCTGCCAATCCCTAGGTACCTTCCCCACTTTCATATATTTATTAACCCTTTGACTGTCGCAACCCCCAATCCTGAGGTGTCTCCTGGTGTCACAAAATTTAAAAAAAAAAATTATTTTTTCTTATGAAATGATAGAGAATCTTTTCCCGATTGTAATGACACCAAAAAAAAAAACGAAATTTGATGGAAAACTGACGGAATTATGCTCTCGCGAAGTTAGCGACCTCGGCGCTGTTTACAAATCGGCGATTTCGCCCACTTTGAGCCCTATTTTCGGCTAATTCCATTGTTCCAGTCGCCCAAACTCATAGCTATTTCTTTAGAACTTCATTTTTTCTATCGATTGAATACAAGAAACTGCCCATTTACTGATTTCAACTACCTAATAATGTGGTCAGAAATTTGCAATTTGGCCAATTTCACGAAAACTAAAAAATATGACAATTTCAAAATAAGGTCCAGAATGAACAATGCAGACATTCCTGGCTCTAAAATAACATTTTCTTTGTTCATCAGTCACGTCTCCAGGCCCTTCTGATATTACTCTTGCTTTCTATTTTGAATTTTTATTCATACAAAAAATATTAGACTTACTATTATGCAGACTACTGCAATGCTGTAATAACTGTATAAATAACATCAACCCATTCATGACTGCATATTAGAATGGCTAGTTGGACATTTATTGGACAATGGCATCATTTGTTTACTTTTGAACATTGGCAAAAATCAAACATTTCCCCTACTTTGAGCTCCATTTCTAGGTTCTTTTTATAGTAAAATCAATCAAAATCACGTCTATTTCTGTAGTATGTTTTCCATTCTATCAAATGAGACCAAGAAAACGAGAATACAACCATAAATACTATACGAAAATAGACCACAAAGTCGGCATTTTAATTAAAAAAAAGCGGTCGGAGTTTTTTTTTTTCTCATTATGCATTGCGTGCTCCAGGATTTTTTTTATATGGTGCACACTGACCACAGACCCATTCTCTCACATGTGGGCCTACCAGCTTTCTCCTGCTTGATTTGAAGCCGCTAGAATTTATGAGTATATATACGTCAAACACGGCACCTCGTAAAACGTATATATACGGCCGCGACAGTCAAAGGGTTAAACAAAAGTACCAACCACTCCAACACTATATCCTCCCCCTGCTTTTAACATTTCTGTCATGATCCCATCAGTTCCAGCTGCTTTACCCCCTTTCATTCTACGTAATGCCTCGCTTGCCTCCACCACACTTGCATTCTGCTCTTCTTCACTCCTAAAAGATGGTATACCTCCCTGGCCAGTGCATGAAATTACCGCCTCCCTTTCTTCCTCAACATTTAAAAGTTCCTAAAAATATTCTCGCCATCTACCTAATACCTCCCTCTCCCCATCTGCTAACTCCCCTACTGTTTTTAACTGACAAATCCATACTTTCCCTAGGCTTTCTTATCTTGTTTAACTCGCTCCAAAATTTTTTCTTATTTTCATTAACTATTTCTTATTTATAAATTACGTACATTGTTTGTGTGAATAGTGTGTGGCTTTTGCTGCCACCTCCACTACACTAATATTTGCAGCTTCTCTGTGGCCCTTATAAACCCAACAACAATGACACCACCACCACTTCTCGCATACGTAATGACATTTTATTCATTCTAGAGTATATATCATGTTTATTAATATTTTTTATTATGTCATTAGATGAGTTGTAATAGATAAATAAGATGTGGAATCTGGTTCTTCTCTATAAAATGTATTTTTTGTTTACTCTTGTATGTCTTAAATAGATTAATTGTATTTATATTTCTTGTGGGGGAAAATGGTTTTTGTCTTTCACATTTCATTGAAGACTGGAACAAATTAAGCATGAAAAGGGAGGGTCCACTATACTATTTAGGTGTACATACTGGTCAGAGAGCCTGTTGTAAGTCTGCGTCGTTGATAAACAAGTAAGTCGCTAAGTGAGAAAAGGCTGTACTTCTGCCACTTTGTGCCTTATTTCAAGCTACTGGTCTGAAATGGGCCAAAATAATTTTTACTTCGTTAATATCTCTCTTCTGTCAAGTGATACCATAAAACTGCCCTAGAAAATGCTTCCAAATCCCTATTTGTAACTACGTAGGCTTAAAATGAGTGAGGAATGTCTGGCCTGCTGGGTGACCTTGAAAATGGCACTATAAGACCCGCATGCCGCTTACACCCATACTGCGTGTGTAGTGAGGTGAATGTCCCTTCCTTGACTTTCCTATTCACCGGTATCCCTTAATAACTCGTTGCCATTATCTACATATGGGATAAGGACGGGTTTAGCTGATCCAGGCCAAGCAACACTCCAAGCCAGACAGTCCAGGCCAAGTTACACTGCAGTTACATCTGTTCTTAATTGCAAAATGCCTTTGTGAACGTTCTACAGACTAAACGCATCAAACACTAGGGAGGGGGGGGGGCTTTTTTTTTTTATACTGTACCTTTGCCATTGAGCCATTCTCAAAGCCAAAATTAACCACTTGCAACAGTGACATAGGCCTGTGGCAGACAGTGAAAGGATTAGCGATACTTAGCTAACAGTAATGCCATGTAATCTCTCTTACAGGAAATAAGATTATAAAACTAGATGGCGCAGCCTCCAACTCCTTTTACGGGCCTGACCTGCTTCCTCTAGATGACCCCACCCATGCAACCTAATTCCAAATTGCTGTAATTCCCCTGGCTCCACTATGTTGACCACTAGCCTCTGTGTAGGAAACCAGATGTTCCTACAATTGTTACTAAATCTCTTCTATTGGTTCCCACCTTTTGTGACCACTGCTTAATTGCTTTCACTGGTTCCTTTGAAGCTTCTTGTGTCTGTATTAGATTGATAAATTCCCCAGTGAGAGAGAAGTTTCTTAGATACTTTGGTATTATTTTTTTAAATGACGTGCACAATATTTTTGACAAGTAATTTTTTTTTTTTAAATGTGGGTATATTGTGGCATATAAAATTGTGATCAAGGTTTGTTAAAAATAACAAATTTTAATTTCTTCGTCATTGACAACTAGCATCTTATGATGGGAAAGTCTAATTTTCAGAAGAAACTTTGGCATAATTTATCTAGTAGTGTTACTGGTAATCTACAGAATGTTAATTTGCATGACAACTGTAAGTTGTCATAATCCCCTCCAGGGAAATGATGTTGCAGGTGAGAGGCTCTTAATCCAAGGAACTTTCTCCTTTCTTGGATTAAACCTGATTGCCTCCTATTCCCCAGGTGCTATATAATTTATATTGTGAAAACTGGAATACATGTGCTACATCTGGGTATCTTTATTGTAGAAGTTTTGCCATACAGTGGCTTTATCAATACAGATTCTAGGTCATAATTTGAAGATAGAGCTATATACAAAAGATGAGGTAATCGGTCCCTCGGCCTTGGAGAATCTTCAAGACTATGGTGCTCTTCACACCAACTCAGACAAAGGGACTGATAGAGCTATATACAAAAGATGAGGTTATCAGTCCCTTTGTCTGAGTTGGTGTGAAGAGCACCATAGTCTTGAAGATTCTCCAAGGCCGAGGGACCGATTACCTCATCTTTTGTATATAGCTCTATCTTCAAATTATGACCTAGAATCTGTATTGATAAAGCCACTGGATGGCAGAACTTCTACAATAAAGATACCCAGATGTTGCGCATGTCTCGGTTTTCATCTTGTCAGTATTGCATACCACTGTTGTACAATTTATATTAGTGCTTTCATCTGATTAAAAAGATTTGATTGTGTAATGTTTCAATTTTTTTTTTTTTTTTTTCAGATTCTTCAAGCATTGCTAGGAACAAGTGTGGTGTTTGCCTGCTTCTCCCTGTCTGCCTTGTTTGCTCCTCGAGGTCACTTCCTGTACCTGGGTGGCACTCTGCTGTCTGCACTCTCCACCCTCTTTTGGCTCTCGCTCCTCAACATTTTCTTTGGTTCCCGGCTCCTCTTCCAGGTTAGTTTGGTGATGACAGTTGTGGGACTTCAGTCATAAATCTTTTATTTAATAAATAAAAGTATACTTTTCTTAGTGATAGTTTTCTATACAGTAAATCCCATCATAATGGGCAGCTTAAATTCTTTGAAATTGGTATGTTAAGTAAAATATTATATACAGTGAAGAACATGTTGGCAGATGGAGTTATATTCCAGATGCCTACCTTTTTACTATTGTGCTAAGTAAAAATTGATGAAAGTAATTTGTCCTACATTCTGTTTATCAGTACTTTGTAAATATATATTGGGTTCTAATCAACTTCTGAGATTAGTTTGGATACTGGCCTTACAAATCTTTTTTTGTCCTGAAATTTTTTTTTATATACAAAAATGTTTACCTTTTTTATTCTGCAGGTTCACTTGTACATTGGCCTGGCTGTCATGTGTGCCTTCATTGTTTATGATACCCAGCACATCTTAGAGAAAGTCAGGGCTGGAGACAGGGATTACGTTATGCACAGTGTAGAGCTCTTCATTGATTTCATTGGAGTGTTCAAGCGCCTTCTCATCATCCTTACAGACAAAGTATGAAACTCTTGAAAATTTTACTGTTTTTTCCTTATCTTTTTCCTTTGCAGAAGGGCTGAGTTTTCCATGTTAATGCAATAACTAATTACTGTACTTTGTTGAATTTGCAGGGGGAGGGGAGGTACCCATGCTCCTCTTCCTACCTATTTTTAACTTTTGACCATTTGACATTTAGACCTATCATGTCTAAATTTGAACCAGTGGTATCTCTTCTACTGTCATTATTGGTTCTTTCCACTTTTATTGCATTGAAATACAGTGGACCCCCAGTTAACGATATTTTTTCACTCCAGAAGTATGTTCAGGTGCCAGTACTGACGGAATTTGTTCCCATAAGAAATATTGTGAAGTAGATTAGTCCATTTCAGACCCCCAAACATACACGTACAAACGCACTTACACAAGTACACTTACATAATTGGTCGCATTCGGAGGTAATCGTTATGTGGGGGTCCACTGTATTTATAAATATTCCTGTATAACAAATGCTTTACAAGAGTTGTAAGTTCATAGGCAGATGCTTGACCTGTAAGAAGATAGGCATAGGCATGTAAAAGGGTAAATACAAGAAATAGAATACTAATTATGTAGTAGTAGAGCATAGAAAACTGAAGAACAGTTGGGTTCAGTTTTTTGAGGCTTGGTGTTCTCTAGTAACAGTGCTGGAAGGTTGACAATCGGATATTTTAGGTTACTCTCTTTTACAGCAGGGTTATAATATTTCAATGAAGCTTAATCTTGAGCAAAACTGAGTTTTCTCTGCTTGTAAACATGCTGCCCAGCTCTTGAAGTTAACCTCAAGCTTCCCTTTTAAATTCGAATACTATGCCATACAAAAATATACAGAGGAAATTAGGAAAATAAGTGTTATAAGTTTGGACAGAGAAATATTCTTAACATGTTAAGGAAATGATATTGAATTGGATAAGAATGTGTGGTGGGCCAAACACTGGTAAGAGGTATTTAATGTAGGTTTATAATGGACCCATATGAAAAAGGCTGCCATCATTTAATATTTGGATAGTGTAGTTGTCCTTTGGCATGCCTGAGTATGTTCCACTACCATTCTCTAGGCACTACAAATTTTTGCATCTTATGATTATTAGTCTATTCTTGAACATGCTCCATTACTTTTGACAATTTATTAATATTTCTACCTTATTCATGAATAATGAATTCATCATTTTTTTAATTTATAATTAAATGTTTAGTATTTTTTAAATATGAAGCTTTTCACAGCAGAAGTTCCAAAGTTTCATGCAGAGAGCTTGCTTTATTACAGCCACCAATGGTACACTACCAGTTGTGCCTGAATGCAATGCGTGCAACATTCGGATATCTTTATTGTGAAGACATTGCTGCCCAGTGGCTTTGTTCCATGCAGAGAATACTGAGATGGAGCTTTGAATAATTTGTAGAGTTCTCGCTATACTTCTACCCCTCCCTCTCTGGAATGATTAAAGAAAATATCAAGGTGATTTAAAAATTCAATCCTATTGTTGGGCCTTGAAATATAAAAAAGATTAAGAAGCAACTGTTTAACACCAGCCGTTTCCCACCTAGGCAGGGTGGCCCTTTGAGTCACTTCATCAGTCTCTTATTGTAAGTTTTTAATCTTAATTCCTTTTTTCAGGAGGCCCAGAGTAAGAGGAGGAGGAGGGATTAATACTTCAGCTAGTCATAACGTAAGCAGTAGCCATATCTTTGTTTGCAACACTGATGTTTGAGGATTGAAAGGGTGTAAATTTAGAAGTTTTGTATGTGGGGTCAAAACATGCTGTTAAGGTGTTAGGTTTAAGAATTCGGTGTCCTTCGCTTTGTGCAAAACATGCTTTCCAGGCCCACGGCACACGAGCGACATCACATCAAGCTAACAGTTTAACATGTAATACATAGGGGTACGTTCAAACACATTGCTAATTCTACATTTCTTGACATGGGGGGGCCCCCCCCCCAAATTACTGCATATTAGTTGTACATGGTCAGGGAGATGTCTCAAATGAGAGGATTGGTTAATATTCTGTAAAAGGGAAATCCATGTAGCAGTAAGCTAAATTTTGGCTTGATGGAAATTTTAAATGTTCTTTGACAAAAAAAAAAAAATTGCTAGATTTATTTTTGAATTGTACAGTGTTTGTAGTACATGATGTAGATAAGTTTGTACAATGGAACCTACATAATTTTATCATTGTGCACTTTGCTCAATGTCCAAGAGGTAGTACAATATGCACATTGGTGGAAAAAGAGTGCCCTTTGTTCATTCTTTGATACATTTTGAGTTTTCTAAACTTATATCATCGTGTGTTAATTGGCTAAAACACCCAGCTTGATTCTTTGATTTTTAAGTTTTTTAACTCTGTTATGGATAAGATCAAACCACAGAATAGGCAAGGTTTAAATCCATAAGTTTTAGAACTCTTCCCATGAGTTTAACCCCCCCACCAGTTCTGTGGTTCATTTACAGTGGTGTTACTATGATTGCTAGTGTTGAGATAAGAGCAACTTTAGCTAGCATTTTCATACTAAAAACTGTGTACATTATACAACCGTCATCTTTTGGAACCAGTTAGTTGAGGGTAGAATTAAGATACTGTAGGAATGATTAAAGTTTGCTTCGTTGCATTCTGCTCATTCCATTTTAGTTGCTTTACACTCCATGGTGGGTTTTTTTTTTTTTGGTGGGGGGGGGGCTAATTATATACAGTATATACAGAATTAAGGGTTTAGATTTTTTATACTTCATGCTTGTCAATAGTTTGAGCTATTTTGGGCAGAAAATGCTTATGAAAATAAAAGTATTCTTTCCTGTTTTATAATTTGTTTTAAGGATATTGTTCATTTTTAAGAACATACATTTTCAAGTTTAGTATTTATATTTCGTGATTTTTTTTTTAAGTACAGTAGAATGCCAATTAACGCAGGGTTAGGTTCCTGAAAACTTGCACTCTACGTGAAATAGACTAGAGAATATTTTGAGAAAAATGTGGTTTGGTTTCTGACAACTTGGAAGTTGTGGCCCTCCCTCCTCTCCTGATCCCCCAAATGTATTTAATTCCAAGTTTCCCTGTGCCTGCATTTTAGTTTTCCTGAAAATAGGGATGGTTGTGGCCCTGTACAATACCTGCATAAACATATAGCAAGTATTATCAGCTACCATCATCTGCTAACATGTTAACTACAGTATAAAGTAAGCTACATTTCCATGTTGATATGCAAGTGTCTGGAGAAGGTACAGACTGTGTACAAATGTGGCAGAGTATCGGCTACCACCACAACTGTTGTGAATCTGTCAGCATTGGCTAAAATAAGACCATTTCCTTGACAGATTACTCCTAGACATAATGAACTTGCCAGATCTATAATATACAATCATATATGTAAAAGAGGAAAACATTCAGAGAGTAATAACAAAAGAGGCTGTGTCCTAAGCTGGGTAAGAATTGGGAAGGAATAAAAGTTCTTAGGGAATTGAAATGGGAACAAAGTTCCTGATTGGGTCATATTGACCCTATGCCTAAACCCAGAGCTAGATGCCCACACTAGTCACCAGTTTTCCCCAGGCCTTAGGAATCTGCATCTAAAAAAAAAAAAAAATGCATGGCACCCTAACCAGTTGCCTATTGGGCTGTATAAGTGCCCCCAGGAAAAGAACTAGAAAATTCAGATGCTCAGACCAGGTAGAGCAAGCCTCCACACTCCACCAGTACCAGCTTTTTTTTTTTTTTTAAAGATTTTTGGCATGTTTGGTAGTTTTTCCATACATTTTGGACTTTGGTACAACACAGTATTTCATAAGCATTTTATTGAAGACTCATTCTATGGATGAGCGTTTGTTGGGTTTCTACTGTATTTCACAAACTGGTAATCTTGTCATAATGCAGGCTGTAATTAAACTGTACAAATTTGAATATGTATGTTGTCTGCCACATGGTTTAAAAGTTTCATATACACTGCAAATTTTAAAATTGCAGCACTGAACATTTTTTGAACTTCTATCCAGTTCATGGAAAAAAAATTAACTAATTAGACATCTTAACTTTCCATAATATTGTATGAATTAAATTTTCTTGGCCTATACATTACTTGTCATTTTTTTTTTTTTACTGCATTGTGGTGTTTGATTTAGTGATAAAACATTTAAGGAACTCTACCTGTTAAGACAAGTATCTTAAGAAGTAATTTTTTTTCCATTGAGAAAGAATTATAAGGAATGGTAACTACACTTGACCCCTAAAACCCATCATTGCTAGCTGTGTAAATGTTTCCTGTAGCAGTGTGTAACTTCCCCGGGGTGGTCCTGGGATTATTATTGGGGTTTAAATTTAACCTCGTTGATTAAAAAAGAAAAAAAAAAAATAACTTCATCTGCGGGAAACATGACTTTTTAAGTCTTAAATGGACTGTTAATGATCAAGGTGTGAACTGATTTTATTCCTATATTTGATTGGTCATGAAATTATGTACCTTCATTGAAATTTAAAAATCCCTTTGGCTCCCAAATTTTTACTAAACCCAAAACGGGTATTAGATTTTTTAAAAAAAATAAAAAATTGAAGTCAAAAGGACAGTGAAAAAATCTTTGTTTTGCTTGTCCAAAAATCCGGGTTTTCGTACTTCAGATTTTGGGTTTTCTTTTAAAATTATGGTAGTAAACTGTGTTTTTGAAACTTAAATTTGGAGACTTGTATACAAAAATTGAAAATTTTTTTGACATTTGTAAAGTCATGATTACAATAAATACTTTTTCAATACTTAATTGTTTATACTTTAAAAACCCAAAATCCTGGAATGATCCACTGTATGCTAAAGAACAAACAATTAAAATGTTTTTGAAAGCAAATGTAATTTTAACCATATTAATTTTCTCTCTCTCTCTCTCTCTCCTCTCTCTCTCTCCTCTCTCTTCTCTCTCCTCTCTCTCTCCTCTCTCTCTCCAAAAAAAAAATGTGGGTGGCCGAAAAAAGGGAAAACTTTGTCTTTCTAGAAGCGACTGATCTTCAAAATTTAGGTAGCCCTCCAAACGAAATGCCAACCCCCACAAAAGTCCCCCAGCTTCCCCCCTGCGGACAAAAATCCTCATGGTTTTTCCCCAATACCTTTGTAAGCGTTAGTCTTCCCTTGCCAGTAAAATGCTCCCACAAGCCCCTTTTTACTCCAAGTCCCCGGCACTCGAAACCTTTAACGCCCCACCCCCCCAACCTTTCCTGGCATGATAATTTTTCCCCTTGAAATTCATACACCCTCCTAATCGTCCTAATTTTACTAGATTCTCTAAATGTCCATACCATATCACCAGCACAGCTATTCAACCCAATGATTAATACTTTTGGTAATCCCCACATCTAATATCCAAGCTCTGAATTTTCTCTATTTTTTCCCTTCACATTGCCCTCAAATACATCTCTGCTGCCTCTAGCCATCTCATTGCTGTAACATTTAAAAAAAAAAAAAAAAAACCCATGCTTCATGCTCATGCAATTGTTGGTATCACTATTCTGTTGTATTTCCCTGATTTTTCCTGTGGAAAAAATATTCACTGTCTTGATTGACCACCCACTTTTTTTTCCCCTTCATTAATTCTGTGCTTCATATCTTTCATAAACCCATCCACTGACAACTTCATTCCCAAATGTCTGAACATGTCTTCCTCAAATCTTTCTTTGCCTAGGTTATTTGTTACCCTCATTGCCTTGCTCCTTCCTATGTTCCCTTCTGATTTCCTGTTACATACCCTCCCAAATTCTTCCAACCTTTGCAGCTTCTCGCCAGACTTTCCCCAAGAAAAGTTACTGGTGCCAAAAAAAAAAAATTTATTCATTAATCATTTAAATTAATCCCATACCTCTCCCTAACAGCCCAGTATCCACTTACAGTGGACCCTCGGGTAACGATGTCATAGGATAACAAAAAAATCGGATAGCGACGCATTTTTTTGCGTCTAAATATTGCCTCGGTTACCGAAAAAACTTAACCCTTCAGAGGGCAAGGCAGGCTAAAATACGGATTTTGAAAGTGATTTCGTATGAGGAGATAGCCACTCGATGTAAGGTCACTGAGACCATCCAAACGGAGTTGTGAAAGTAACATCTCGGGCAATTGCAGATATTCGAAGACAGAGTATATTCGGTCCTGCCCGTTTGGGATATAACAATTTAGAATGTTGCAAGGTTGCAATTTAAAAAAAAAAAACAAATATTTTTTAAATTTATTATACAAGTCGACAATATAAAAAAAAACAAATGGAACTTGTTTCTGAACAATTTGTAAGCAGTAAAAAAAAAATAAATAGGAACTACTTATCAACAATGACACATTGCAATGGGATACAACTTGCAAATAAAATATTCCTGGGTTCCCTGAGAAAGAACAATCTTTTTACATCACTAATTTCTGCAATGAAACTTTATGAAACAATTTCTATCCTTCTTGATGGATATTTACTTTGCATGTGGCACAGGAAAATGAGGATGTGACATGATTATTCTTGTTGCTGCAATACTTGCATGTAAGCAAGTATCTTGTTCAATTTCTTCTTTCTGGATGGTGGCACAGCTTCCTCCTCATCTGTTGGCACCTCTGCATCTTGTGGCAAGTTTTCATCATCAGTTTCCACCACTTCTAGGTCATCTGGGTCTTGATCTGAGTCACTGTCATCCCAAACAGACAAATTTCGACTCGCCGTAAAACAATTTCTTATTGATCTGGAAGGACAATAAAAACGTTCTGTACACACCCAGACCATTACTGAATTCATATATACGCTACCAAATTTTATGGAAATATTTATATACCGAAACTTGAAAACTGCACCTAAAAGGGCAGGAACGACTGTACTTGGTCCTATTTTGTTGGACTTTTTTCATTTGCATGGTGCACTCGTAATATGCTTCACAACGCCTTCATATATATATCAAAATATGGCTAAACTGGAGAGAGGGGGTAAAGGAGGTTTTGTGGGCAAGGGGCTTGGACTTCCAGCAAGCGTGCGTGAGCATGTTAGATAGGAGTGAATGGAGACGAAAGGTACTTGGGACCTGACGATCTGTTGGAGTGTGAGCAGGGTAATATATAGTGAAGGGATTCAGGGAAACCGGTTGTTTTCATATAGTCGGACTTGAGCCCTGGAAATGGGAAGTACAATGCCTGCACTTTAAAGGAGGGGTTTGGGATAT